CCCCAAAACCCCAAAACCCCAAAACCCCGCATCACTAGATCAATAGAAATTTAGAGAATTAAAATAATTCGATAAGAATGATAATTTAAATAATTTAAAATGAATGCAAGTAACAACAACTTAAATTAAGATCCTTATTTCTAAGATGACCTGCCTAAATTTGGATATCAATCTCCTAGATAAAATAATAATTAGTTCTAGAGCAATTTTAACAATTTGCCTGTGCGTGATGATGATCTAGATTCGCCAGGAAGAATGCTTCAATAAAAATAAGTAGCCTTTGAAGGAGGATAGTAATAGCATCCTACATATTTGAATGAGTTAAATGATGACCAAAGAGATCTAGACTTCATCAAATTTAAATAGTAATAGCGAGAATTCTTAGAAAATAAGTTGAAGATTTAAACCAAAATAGAGGGACTCTAAAGAGAATACAATTTTTATTCAAAATTAGACAAAGATGATATGAATTACATTCTTTAAGCTAGAAGAGAAAAAGCTGCAATATTGATCTAGAGAGCTTATCGTAAAATACAAAAAAGCAAAAAAGAAATATTGGTCGAAGAAATGAGAAAGGCTGGTGCTTTTCTTGACTAATTGACTGAGGAAGATATTAAAACGATTGAGCAACGTAAAAAAGAACTTAAAAACCATAGAGAGAGGCATTAAGCTAGAAGACCAGATACTTTTTATTCAACAATTGATAAAGAGCGTAGATCAGAGCTAGCGGAAAAGGTCCTTGCTAAAAAGCGTTTATATATTCATAGTGACATCCAAAAAAGAGACCATATAGAAATAGATGATATATTTTCAGATTAATATGGAGAATTTCTCTAGAATTATAGAAAGGTCGAAGAAAACAGGTTAAAAGCAATAGAAAATTTGAGAGAGATAGAAGTAATGAGTGAGTATCTTGTAAAAAAAGACCATGATTAGCTTGATATAAAAAATATAGTAGTATGGAGTCAACTAGAACAAAATTTCACCCCTTAAGATGAAATTAGAATCAGAAAGGAGCATCTAGCTAGACTTGAAAGATATAGAAAGAGAAAAGAATGGGAAGCCTGGATAGAAGATGAGGATGACCTTGATATCGAGGGAGAGAGAATTCTGGCTGAAATAAAGAACTATTAGGCCGAGCACTTTTATAATATAGGTTTTTCTTGAATTAATTTTCATCTACTAAAATTAATTATATGTTAAGATAACATTCAAATTCTTCTTGATGGGGTTTTGGGGTTTTGGGGTTTTGGGG